CATTCATTTCCTCATGTAACAATAGCTCTAGAGCTTCATAGCAAAGTTATTAACAGACGAAATCGTATAGACCCTCATTCTACCTGAGTTGGTGGCATTTGTGCATAAGCATGCTGTGGTTGATGCATAATTTGCTGTTGAGGAGGGAAGTAGGCTTGTTGTGGTGGTTGCTGCTTTAAGAAGGTAGTTCAGTTTGAAAAATATTTAAAAATTAGATCTCGGACCTGCATCACATTATGTTGGTGATATTGCTGTTGTTGTTGCTGGCACGCATGTCTTTGGCGGATTTCCTCTTCTTGCATATGTTCAGCTAGAATTTCATATTTCTAAGATCCAAAAGATTCAGCTGATTGATTAACTTCAATATAGTCATAAACCTTAAAGTAAAAAGTATGACAACCGGATTCAGAAGTAATCCATGTACTTTAAAATAACGGTGTGATTTTCTGCAAAATTTTAGAAATTTACATAAGCAATAGTTTGTAATATGTTAATGCAAGGCAAATGAATGATTATCAGTCCTTCGCTCGCTAGCACAGCTTGTATCACTATTATTATGACTTAAAACTTGACGACTCAACGTTTTTGGATGTCAACACCACGTAGCTGGCACGTTTCGCCACACAACCAAGAAATTCACAGTGACTGATTTGACATCGTTAACTGCACTTCTGCTCGGTTCAAGAGTAGAAAAAACTCACGTATTCGTGGATCGTACCAGGTTGTAGTCTGCGTATTGTGATCGACGAAATAACGATTTCCTAGCTCGTCAAGTTTCATTTCCCAATTTGGCGGTAATGGACCAAGTGAACTCATCTTATCTGCCATCTAAAAAGTGGACCCCAACGTCCATACTAAAACAAGGTTTATCCTCAAGCCTACCTGAGAACCCGGATCATGCATTCCGACAATCATCGGATCAAGTGAATGACTCTTCCCGCGCGGATCGAAGAGCGATGAAGGAACTGGTCTATAGTTGTGTAATATATGTTGCTAATCAACAAATACTCTGAATTAACAATTCTTTTAAAATGTTGATTTTCTTACTCATGGAATGATGGCTGAGTTCCGAACGACGCGTTGTAGTTTGCCTCATGCGATACAGATCGATTGTGCTGAGGAACACTTAAAGAAGACCAGTAGTTATTGAAAATGAGAATCTTACTTTAAAAAGAATTATAACCCACGTATATGCCGGATCTGGCATAGGAGGGATGGCCGAGACAGATTTTGAATGATGATGTGTAATCACTTGTGGAACAGGCACGGGTCTAAAATTTGCAGTCTCTTACATCACTTCTTAGTCAGATTTCCAAAATACAGAAAAAACTCTCTGCGTTGTTAAGCAAATACAACATAATTTCTGCTGTTTACTTTTATAAAGGATAGCAATACTGCTTGGTTTGAGTAATGATCTGAATGGAAGATAACGCCGATTCTGACGTTTAATAGCTAAGCATAACTTTATCGACGACCATATTCTCCAATCGTATCAAGTTCCGCATATCTCGTGCTTTAAGAAGGAGCCATATCAAAAATTCGTCATCCCCAGAAATACTGATAGAAAACAAGCTGGGCATTTTAACACCTGACGCACATTATGTAAAAAATTGTGGATGCTTAATTCACAGAGTGGCTCAGCACAACACTGATATAAATATCTCTTCCTTCAGTTG